GCGCGCCGCCGTTTTTTGGCTATTCAGGAAAAACCACAGGGGGAGGCCAAATTGGCCCCTCCAACAGGGCGAGGATTAATTGCACTTAAAGATGTTTGTTTCTATGCAGTACATTTTTATTTGGATTGGCGTGATTTGTTTTGTAGAGTCACTGTTTGTTTTACATTGTCCAACGCTTAAGGAAGATGCTGGAAATGCTAGGTGTTTGATGTGATATAATGACCTATCAAGATATAGCGTCCCGTCCTCAGACAGAAATCTGCCTTCCTCGATGCATTACGATGTGACAAGCTCCAAGCTTTGAGGTGGCGGCGCGGGACAACTGTTCACCATCACCTGTGGAGGGAAACGTCTCGTTCTCCAGCTAAGAGAGGCTGATGATCCTAGGTTTTATTAGATAGTCGCGTCTCCTCGCTTCCCTGTTACAAGTGCTTATATGTGCTTATATTAAATATGTTTGATAAACCTTTAAACAGTGCGCATCACTTATGCAGGTGAAGGCCTGTCAGCCATATGCAATGCGGGGGCTGATCCCTTTGTAAGACGCTTATATCTTGTATTTTTCGCATCGGATTCCTCCCTTTCCCTCCCCCTCTCTCTCTCTCTCTTTCTCTTTCTCTCTCTCTCTCTCTCTCTCTCTCTCTCTCTCTCTCTCTCTCTCTCTCTCTCTCTCTCTCTCTCTCTCTCTCTCTCTCTCTCTCTCTCTCCAATCTTTCTCTATGTGTATTTGATACGGGTCCCCACGCTCTCTCCCCCAATCCGTGCTGGCCTCCACACTGAGCCGCCGTAAACACAAACCATTGTTCCAGAGAGATATGTGCGGCGGCTCCTTTTCTTCCATTGTTCGGCCAACTAATCGTCCTCCACTTTCACTGTTATGTGGCTATTCCAACGGACCTCCACTTCAATGTTTCTTTCTATTTGTTTACAATGCCGCGTTATTGATTCTCTAGCTGGAGTTGGGGCTTGAAGCTACTCTTTGAGGCGAGGAGGCTACGGTTGGCCTTCAGTTTCCTAGCTACAGACCAAGAACGCAAAAATGTTGAAAAACGAAGTTTAGCTAATACATTTTGTCGTGAATAACGTATGTGTAGTGTACTATAATTATACTATAAATATTCACTAATATGGCTTGAAAATATGAGAAATTCTGACGAAATTTCGTTTCCGGCATCTAACTGCGTGCTCATTGACCATTGACAGGCATTATCCATTGACTGCTTCATACTTACGCAGGTATGAATAAAATTATACTTGTATGTTTTGCACGAAATGCTTGTTTGTCTGCATTTTGGCGCATGTACGCATTATACATTACCATTGGAGTCGCTTGATGTGATACACAGCTGATTTATTGATATGCTTGCTCAAAAGTATTATATCGCCATTGAAAATCTGGTTGGTATTACACATGTTGCATTGGTGAGAGAAAACATTTATTGCAGTTATGCCAAGTAACAGTTCAACGTCGTATACAGTGAAGAGGACACCAGACACGTATATGTATCGCTCGTGTCTCTAGCCCATTGACAACCAACATATTGATACAGTCGACAGTTGTTTCAACAGGACCTTAGAAACATCGCTTTCGTACGTATAACACAAGTATTTTCAACACAAGTAATTCACTACATTGGCAATGAGCTTGTTTGCATCGCCCGTATATCTGAACTGCGATATATGTATGTATGTATGTTCAGAGCAACATCAATAATGAAGATGTCTGTCTGCCTTATGTGGAACTAAGAATGTCTTGAATTGGTAAGTAAGACAAAACAATCAATGCAAGTATGGAATGAGCTGATATAGCTCGTGAATAAAGTTTGTCATTCATCAAAAACGAAAACGGTAATTTTATTGTCAACCGATTTGCAAGTTTTACCAATTAATTTCGGTGTTAATTGCATCAGTAACATATAAAATAATTTCGATGACTTGTATGGAGATTGGGGCACTCGTTTTACAGGACAAAAAGGAGCACAGCATGCCCTGTCACGTCTGCTTTTTCTCGTTAACCTGCTAGCAATGAACATTGACCTGTACAATGCACATCTCAAGTTTTTTGTTTGAAGTTACACAAGCATTTATTTAAAGGAAGGTTGTGCTCTTAATAATCTGTCTAGCATTTAGATTGACATGTGATTTTCATGAACAAGCTATGTGAAAAATAATAAAATGATAGTGGCATTATTGCAGATGCTGAACAGCACATGAATGACAGTCGCGCGGATTTGTTTAACTTATTTTGGATGATTTGAGCCTTATGCCTGGTATCACATAGGTATATCGAATGACTAACATTCTATAACGACATTATAGTTCACGACGTCCAATGAGAAAATGAAAATGTGCTCAGACCTTACATGAATATACCATGAAGAAAGATCTTACACAGCAAACAGAAAAATCAATATTTCTTCGCCTTTTGACAATATTTCAAGAGTCGACTATATTAATTGACCGCACGACTGGTGGGTGTCTCTTCTTAGAAGACTATATTGAATTGTATGGCTCCTAACACTGCACCTTTTTGTCTGCCCGTCCGCCGATCAAGGATAGATAATAAGTGAACGTAGCAGCTTTAAAGCACATATTCATTACTTAAAAAAACTTAACCTACTTAAACATAAACTGAAGACGTGGGAACATACGAGTTAAGAGGATCATATGCGAAGGCTGAATGCCGAGTAGAGGTGGCAAAACATGAAAATTTTGGGAACCAGACTCGAACCAGACCCGGCTGGACATTTCTGGAACCAGTCGGACCCGGTCTTAGTTGGAATCGGAACCATTTGGACCCGTTCCCCAAAAGTCAATTAATACAAACTACTTGTAGGTGTCATTAGTTCATCATGTAGAACAGCCTATTTCCCATTGGGAATACTCATGAGCTACTGTGTGCAAAGAAACATTCACTTCATTTACTTCATATTTTGCAATAATGTGTACTGTGCAAGATGTAAAGTTTATGGTAGGACCCGGTTGGACCCGTCATAAAATTTCCAGGAACCGGTCTGGACCCATATGGGTCCAGACTGGTTCTTTGGACCGGGTCCTCGGGTCCACATTTTGCCACCTCTAATGCCGAGTTTTTGAATGAATATCGAACGAAGGGCTCTATTTTATGTTGGCCTTTCTGATCACATGATTTTGGCATGCACGTCAAAAGTTGAATGCTTTTATTGCAATCAGGCTTTGATAAAATATGAACTGTTTTAGATCTAATACGTGAGATGTAATAAAGTTTAAGAATGAATATTTCAGTTCCCAACAATTGAGCCCATTGATGCGTTGTTCGTTGCAAAGACTGGTACAGGGATGTGCAACTCTTCTCCGTGACATCTGAAACTAACACCAGCCCTAAATGTGACCAGAAACGCTGAATAAAAAAGTATTTCGGTGAGATAATGTACGGCTCTCGCGAGATTAAGCGGTAGGTTTTGCACTTTTACATTTCCGGTTATAACTATCTCAGAAACTAATCGATCTACGATGAATCCATTTTACACGATCATGGCCGGCTTGTTACCCAACAAGTCGATCACATCTTCAACACTTAAAAACTTAAGACGACGAAGATATAGCCTGAAGTACACTAAATTTTTTATGTGCAAAACCTACCGCTAAAACCCGCGAGACCTGTACTTCTCTAGCATTGCCGTCAATCTAACAAGAGTCACCCTGATCAAGGAAACTTAGAATATGCATTTATCTAACCTGCAGATATTTTGACGTATTGAGACACTTTTCTCGCTTGCGTTATGCAGAGGCACTATAGAAACTGAAGCTAAACTGTTCTACTTCTCGTATATGCTGCATAATGCCCATTGCATACCCTTGCGCCAGAATCCGTTCTACTTTGTCTCGTAAATATTAACCCTCGCCCCGTTGGGGGGGGGGGCAATTTGCCCCTCCCCCCTGTGGTTTTTCCTAAATAGCCAAGAAAACGGCGGCGCTGCGCCGCCAAATTTTCGGTTCCTTTTCGGGAATCAATTTGACAACTCCACACAAAATTTCAAGTCTTAGGTCACCTTTGGTCAGGAGTTATTGAGGTCAAACTGAGGTCATGTTCGAGCAAAAATGAGCAAAAAACATGAAATTTTGAAACGCTCACCAAAGCTACAGCTACTTAACAATTTCAAAGTTCTTTATATAGTCATGTAGAGAAAAGACGGCGCTACAAAACTGCTATCTCGGATTTTCAAAATTTTTGGATTTTGACCCTCAAAAATTCAAAAAACTGATTTTTTTTAGAAAAACGTAAAAAAAAAGTGAATTTAAAAACCCGGAATATATGTGATAGTCCCGCCGCTCTTCTATCTACATACCAATTGTTAGATCGATACCTCTATTTTTGGCCAAGTTATAGTGAAAAAACGTTAAAATTGATGACGTCAAATTTTTGAACTCAATTTTTGGCAATTCTAGAGCACGTAGCGTAAAACCAAGACCACCACTGAACTCCCCGTGACGAGCTGCATCGAATCGATACCCAATTTATGTTAAAACATCAACTTTGAAATTTGACCTAATTTGACCTGACCTTGACCTGACCTTGACCTGACCTTCACCAGAACATAATCTAAACTGACCCCAAGGGCTGCCTGTCCCACATAATCGCATTTGACATTTAAAATGAACCATAAAACATGTATCACATGATATTTTCATATTGTGACCCCCCAGTGACCTGACCTCTGTGACCTGACCTGGTATCAGTGACCTCAAATAGCAAAATATGTGTTTGACGAACAATACCCCATCGATGATTTTTAATGAAATGCATTTAATCGATTTTACAACGCATTTCTTGAAATGCCTGTAAACGGTGAAAATTCGACCTTTGACCTGACCTGTGACGTCATCGGTTTGACCTAGGTCAACAAAATTTGGTCACAAGGTAGTTCCCTGGGCTATCCAACGCCGTTTGCCGCTTGTCGCTATGTTGCGTGGTTCTCGAGATGGTAACGCGCCCCCAACCGGGCGCGTTGCTCGGCAGACCCCAGCGTGGCGCGGGTTAACTCACTACTAACTCATTGGTGCACTTACATGCGATACAATTATTTGTCTAACTGGGAATAAAGTCATGCCACTTATTCTCATGCAAGTAATATCACAGTCCCTGAAATGCCACAGATAAGACAAACGACACACACGAATCATAACTTCCCTTGCACACACCACTGGACATTTAAATAAACAAACTATTGACACATTTAAGGACAATATTGTTTCTTTTTACACTAAGCATGTCTCCTGTCGGGTCCACAATGATGCGTATTACCTATTGTACTAGGAAACGCGAGCCCGAAATACGGTCTTTATATGTTATACCTATTAGTGAGTATGAATTGAAAATTGAAAAAAAAAAACTTTTCTCTAATACCGCGCACCAAAAATAACAGCTTGCGTAACTATGTCATTAAACCGATCAAGTAATTTATAGAAATCGCAAAAAATCAAGTTCAGGGGGATGATGCTAAAATAAAATGTTTACATCATCATCTATTTAGCCTGTATCTGCCTACCAAAAGACGTGGCTGTGAGTGAAATGTTCTATAGAAAAAAAGATAATTGTTGTGTATGATTGTGTGTAACATAGTACACACTACTATTTATGTAACAATACACGGTTTCTACTTCATTGGAGTGCATTTCCCTTCATAGACACATAATATGAAATCACATTCAGATATGCTATGTTTTCTGTAGCCATTTGGGAATAGCAGTCGATGCCTCCTGCATAATTTTGTGATATGCACTTTGTTCAAACACTCAACCAACTGGCTTTTTTGTAAATATTATGAAGAGGTGAGCTTAGAACTCGCACCTGCTTTAATATAATCAGTTTGAGCATTTATCAATGCCTGCTCATGCTCAAATGAACGCGACCTTCGCCACCACAGACTGGGGCGTGTGGTGTATTTTGATAGTTAAGAAATTAGGGAGTCAGCTTCTTCTCTCCAATCCATTATTCAACTGATTTCGTTTTCATGGTAGAATCCCCCGTGAAGAGATCGTGTCTCCCTCGAGGGCGCTTATTTTATATTTCCTAAGAGTCGGTCGCGCATAAGTTAATGTAGTTCGAGAGTAACTGTTGTATCTGGTTAAATGGATGCACACTTGCTAATGCACCACGACTGTGTTGCCGGTCTACTGATCACTTTCATCGTAAGGGATCACTCACGAGATGAGAATAATCTACAGACGATACTTTTTTGCCACTGAATAGGAGCTCCCTTTCTCAAAAAGGGAATTGGAACATTCACTCTTGTTTCTGGTAAAATTAATTAGACATCTCTTCCGGTCCGATTTGGTCAGGTGACTCTCAGATACAGTACCAGCCAGCCACCTACATAATACAAAAGTCGCGCATCATGCAATAACAACCAACCGAGTGTCCTAGGCGGTGCCCATCTGTGAGACCCTAGGCCCTCTGCTGTCGACAGTGGGTCCTACACAGATAGGAGAGCACCACGCGGCAAAAGTAGCACTGCATCAGACACTGGACGGCCACGAAGAAGCCGTGGCAGTAGTGGAAGAAGCTGGCGCTGCCCCTGCCGGCCGGCTGGCCGTCCGCCGGCTCGTCCAGACTCGGCGACGAGATCGGGTAGATGAGACTCGGCTCGTAGAAGAGCAGGAACAGCTGGCCGGCCACCACCAGCGTGTCGAGCGCCAGGTAGCCGAGCACCAGCGAGCCCAAGCACGCCTCTCGGCAGTTGACGGCGCAGATGAGCAGCGCGCCGAACACTATCAGCGTGCCCTCGACCACCATCAGCGCCACCAGTGCCGCCTTCTTGGCCGCCAGCACCTCGTCGGCGGAGAAGTGCTTCAGCAGCTCTGGCGGCTGCTTGGTCTGCGCCAGCTCCGGGTCCTTGATCAGGATGGCCAGCTTGAACATGTCGATGGTGGCGAGCAGCAGGCCAGCCACCTGCGGCGCGGCCGGGGCGGGTCAGCGCGCGGGGTCACAGGGTCAGAGGTCACGGCAGGCCGGTGGGCAGGCAGTTTAGAGAGACGGCGGACGGTCTCGGCTAGTCAGCTGGTGCGCTTAGTTGCAGTTAGGGGCCTGCATGCAGTTAGTGGACTGTGTCACTGGACAACTGGTGGAATGCGCGCACGCTTTGGACGCACACAGTGTCACAGTGCGACAAGACAACTTACGATGTGCGTGAGAGACTTCGTGACCAATCCGTGACGAGGCTAACAGATCCGGACGTGAATGGTACACCTCAGTGAGCGTTATGCACTTTTAAGTATGATTGTGACGAAGTGTGCAGATATGTCAATCTGGCACTGCCAGCACTGCCCGTGGAAACTTTGTTTTTGTATCCGACAATTTGTCTGCCGCAATTGAATTAACATTTACCATGTACTCGTATTCTATGCAAAGTATGCTACTAAAGCTCTTCTCTATAATGTTGCGCATGCTTTTTACCAGAGACTTGCTTCTCACAAACAGCACTTGCCACACTCGTTGATGCTATTTCGAAAGCCACGCAGCACACAGCACATCAAAGCCAACATCCACTGGTCTGCCACGGGCGATGTGCCTCTCGTAGTTAATTTGATCTAGACATACGCACCTCCCACCCTACCGGGAGTTCGCACACAAACCGGATAGCGCACGGGCTCGCCGGCCTTCCGGCGGCTGTGGTTCGTCTGAAACCAGATTAGCGGCAATCTATTATTTTGTGTCAAGGGAGAAATGAATGAGCTTAGGGCACAGGTTTTGACTAAGTAATAACATTGGTATATTTCTGTAGCGTCAGCATTACACTCCACGACGCAGTAATGTTCAATATGCCGGTGCTGCCTTATACGCTGTCCAAAGAACGCAGTTTTGCATAATGACTACCTAATCTTGTTCATTAGCTTCACACGATAAACAACCTTGGCGCTTACACAACACACAAGTGCTCCCCTCATTGCATCAGCGTTAGGCGCGCGGAAAACAACTTCATAATCCCAAATGATTCGACCCGAGTGCCTTCCAAAGTACTCTGGGAATGTGATGGCGCGTGCCATTCATGGAGACCCTTATGTGCATTACACCTAAGAATGTTATCGTGCCGCCGGCAGCGGCGGGATCCTATACATACACACGATATAGAGAGCCAGATCAGAGTAATTGATTGAGCTGATCGGCTCATCGCGACCGAGTAGGCGCGTCATCGTTAGCGATGAATGAGAGCACGCGAGGAGGACGGCTTATACAGGCGGCTGGATCACCGGGGTGGAGCCGCAGCCATCGTGTCGTGAGGGCTGTTTGAGGTGGTTGGTCACAGGCGGTGCGCCCTGAAACCCAAATAAACAGACAATACTGGTTTATCGCTAGTTGTAATTGTGAAACGCAATGCGCTACATAGATCGGCACCATTAATGCGTAGTGATTGAGCTTGTTCGGTGAAAGTTTAGGGATTAAACTTTTCGATGTTTTTTTTATTAAGCATTCATATTTATTAATCGTAAAACCTTTCAATTTACAATGTAAAAGCATCGAAATTTTATTAAATACTTGCGAGCAGTCCAGGTCACTCACAACAATTAATGCTGACAAAAATATAACCATCTATTTGCATGTTTATTTCTTCGTTGTTGGAAATGAAGGAATATTTCTGCTAAATTGATTTCATAAATGTTCAGCTGTTTCCTGACGTGATCACCATAGAGATCTTATTGATCACCAACTAGCAATCCAAGCTATGATCTATGTAGGCATTCGGCACTACCGCCCGATGTCAACGGCAGGTCCGGCCCGCGCGCCTCGACTCCAGTGTAATGCGGTACAGCATAAAATCAGGCGCTATACAGTGCTGCCATCTATGTGGCGTGTCTGAAGTCTATAACGGTGCTGCCGCGCTGAGTGCTGGTTCATGTAACACTTCTCACGAACTTTGAGTGAGTCAATGCGTAGAACAAGGGCTTTATTGAAGCTACGTAATTTGAAATGTATAGGAACTAAGATATTTTGCATTACCTGATCCTGAGCGTGTCTTTCAACCATGAATTTGCGGTCGTTCCACCTCTCCTGCAGTCGCCATATTGAGCTAAACCACTACGATCCCTGACGGCACATCGTGTCCCCGGCCCCCACCTAGCCATCACTCACCACCATGTACCAGCCGATCTTGCGCGTGCCGTCGTCCAGCGGGCAGCCGCAGCAGCAGTAGGTGACGATCAGCATGGCTGGCTGTTCGGTCGTCGGTCCGGCGACTACGGGCACCCTGTCCAAGCGTCGGGCGGGCCTTCTGTTCAGGTGCAGATCGGCGAGCGCCGAGCTGGCGGCCCGCTCCGGGTGGACCCTGGCTGTGCCACCGTCCCCGATGGTCACTGCGCGGCCGTTCGGGTTAACCTCTCATCAGCAAACGGACGGCATCTGACGGCGCTGCCAGGCGGCGCTGACCCTGACCGTGCCACACAGATCCTCCATGACTGATCCGCAGCCGCCGCTCCGAGACCCGGTCCGGTCGGGACGCTCCGGCTGGAACGCTCCCCTCTCCAAAAGACACCGATCGGGCGGCGGTTGCCTCTCGACTGGCGGCACTGCGCCGCTCGGGGGCAGAGCGGGAGTGGCGGCCAGCCGGGCAGTCTGCTCGCGCACCTGCTCCCGGGGCCGAGCGGTCGGCGCGCCGGCCCGGTCAGAGCAGAGGAGGGCCACGTCAGCCGGCCTCCGGGACTGCGACGGAGCGCGGAGGACCGGCGGAGATCGGGTGACACCGACCGGTGCAGACCGGAATGGAGAAGGACACAGACACGGAGACAGAGACGGTGTGGAGACAAGGTAGACAGCGGCACGGGAGACGGGACAGGAAGCGGCGGCGGTGGGAGCGACCTTTGTCCCGGCGGCCGACAGAGAGCGCCGGGCACAGTGCCGAGGTCGATACGCTCCCGTCGCCGGCCGCCGACAGACAGAGTGAGGAGGCGCGGCGAGAGGGAAGGTGAAGAGGAGAGAGCGGAGACGGCAGCCACCTGGCGCCGCCCTCTGACAGCCGGCAGCCGGTCATGGCTCACTGGGGAGTGGTCACACCGACACACGGTGACACCGGGGGCCTTGTCGTTGTTGGCTCTCAACATTTGACACAGGACATTTTTCCTGTCAGTTGGTGAAACTGAATGCTAGGAAAAAAGGAACTGTGGAACAGCCGTTTTGTCAGATCACACTGATATGCTGATCATCCACTTCTCTATTTTTGCGTGGATTTGTATAAAAGTAAGGTATGCGATGCGTAGTTACTAGTTACATTCATTCATATTGCATTCATTCTCTCATTCATTCATTCATTCATTCATTCATTCATTCATTCATTCATTCATTCATTCATTCATGCAGGGATAGGAACGATGAAATATGTAGCGTAGTTAAATTCGCGCTATTCCTGCAAAGAAGCTGTGTAATTAATTGTTATTATTCTAATCCATTAAGTCACGCCACAAAACACGATTATTGGAATCGCCAGTGCCAACATTCAGTTTGTTTACTGAGATGCTGATCTTCAAGAATTAAAAAAAAATCAAAGTTACAATATGGTGACAACACGTTGCCAGAGCCTCTGCCCTGGCTGGCACCGGCTATCGTGTCTCTATAGAGCGCAGTAGATCGCTTTACAGTCGAAATAAAGATAGAGTAAAACAGGCTAGTGGTCGTAGGCCGCCGCCTGCGGGCAGTGCCGTCCAGAATGGCGCGGCTATCTGGGCAGTTGGAGCGGCGCCGTCCACCCGTCGCGGGTCGACCCCTGATCGGAGGGAGGACTGTCGGTAGGCGGCCGTCTGACAGTCGGCTGCTTTGTGTGTGTGATGACTGGAGGTCTGTCTGCTGGTTTGTGTGTCAAAGTTGTCCATGTCTGCTGGTTTGTGTGTCTAAGTTGGCTGTCTGCTGGCTTGTCAACCGCACCGATTCTCTCTTTGGTTGGCCTATCTCTTTTTGTTCTTCCTTATCGAATTTACAGTGACAACACACTGAGTCCTTCCCGTGGCTGATTGTCGTGACAACCCCAAAGCAGGGTCGGATTCTGCAATTTCCTTCGCTCGCTTGGACGCTTGGCCACCCCAAAATACTCCCGTAAGAACAATAAAGGGACGCCGTAAATAAGACATCGCCCTACTGCCCAAGTGCTATTGCCAAACAATATCTCTCCCCGGTCGTAATCAACCCAAGATTGGTTGGTAATTGGTATATATTCGGTTTAGAGTCGCAATCTTCTCGGCCTTCTCCCGATAGTGTCGGTATTTGTGACTTCCTCTGCCTTCAGGCAGCCGCTGAGAGGACTTTGCGCCAATGAGTGGCAAAAGCTGGACCTTGTTTTCTTTAACCCTCGCCCGCACATGCCATTTTCACATCCTAGAACGCACATGGGGGGGGGGCGCCATTTCGCTCCTGTTGGAGATAGAGCTTAGCGGTAAGACCAAAAAGATTCTTTGGGAAGAGACAAATCCAATGATACCCAGTTTTACCTTCTCAGGTCAGTCATTGACCTTCCAGGTCAGGTCAAACTAAAAATGTTGCTGTTTTGGGTCACCGTTGGATATCAAGTGCGCTGCTTATCATATACCGATGACGATGCCGTTTTCTGGTGCCAAGCCAGCTAGAACCTCTTTGTCACACTACCCGACCAGGTTTTTGCTGCTGAGGTCATTTCAGGTCAAGTTAGGTCAAGGTCAATTATATGTGTTTGTATGTCTGTGTGTGTCAGTGTGTATACTGAGGTGTGCACCGATTGTTTATGTGTCCATATTTCATAAAATCATGATCTGAGAAGCTTTTACCAAAAATACGGTCAAAAAAGTTCACAAAAAGTAAATTCCGCTTGCCTAAAACGCAATTATCTTAGATGACCTAGGTTGACCTTGACCCTGACCTAGACATCTGTACATCGTCGAACAACATGTTCCATGATAGGTGGGAGGTAAGACTGGCAAAAAAGGCCAAAATCAAGGTGTCAAAAGCTCACAAGGCCCATAGCCAACGCAAGATGTTGAGAATTGGCCATTTGGGTCATGACATGACCTGAAAAACAAGGTCATATCTCCGAAAGCAAAAATCACAGAAACTTAAAATTTTCAGTGGACATCAATAAAGGATAGAGAAGCAGAAGCAGCTATACCAAAAATCAGCCTTCTAGCTCTAACAATGCTGAGTGCAGAGCAGAAAGACTGCCTGGGGGGGAGGTGGCAACCCCCCCCCCCATGTGCGGGCGAGGGTTAAATGCACCTCCTTGTCCAATGTGATGTTTTGCAACTCTAATGTTGACCGTTGTAAACGTCTCGAAACTCAGGCTTTTGTCACATTTGATAAGACTTTCTCTGTTCAGCTTCATTCCTCCCAAAGTCGGTTCACTGTTCATTCAGGCTGCACTGTACTCAGGGACACACCACTCCCAAGCGGCGCAATGGACCAGCAGAAGCCCATCTATATACATAGACCTCGGAGCTGGGCCTGTGCTCTCCTCGGAAATTATGGCGGCTCGTAAAGTGAAACTGACGCCTAGTGATGTAAGCTGAGGCGGGAGTTACCCAGAGGTTCTCTCTGTGTGTAAGTTGAGAGGTTGTTATACTATGGCCTTTTGGGTGGCATACACATAGAAAGCATGATATATAGTTTTAACAATAATGTGGTACAACATGTTGGTGTAGGCTTTAGTAATCTGGGCGCATTCTTGAAGGTGCACTCAATTGTCCAATGAGAAAATGCGTCCGATTCATATAGGACACTCACAAAAGATCATAAGTGCCCCTATCTTTCCTTGTATTGAAAAGTAAAGGTTGAAACAGAAGAATTTGTTTTTTTTTGTATTATATAGAATATGCTTCGTTCCCATAATGCGTCCTTTTTGGAATGCGCATTAAACTAAAATGACTGACGCCCCCTGTCGTTCCGACCATAAAGCTTCACTAATAACGCCTCAATACAAACGGTGCCTATCGCTCTCTGTCCCTCTGGACTCCCACACCATTCAGCTTTAGATTGGGGTGGGCGTCCAAACTTCAGTTCACCTCCGCGGCAGAGGAAAGCAGTAGTGATGAAAACCACTTCTGTCTGCAATGGATAGAGAGCCTGGTCCGCGACATTGGTACTGATACAGTCCTCTCAGCTCTGTAGATACCGGTGACCTTTCCTCTCGCCTCTCGGGCAGTCTGACCACGATTTTCGCCGACCTGCCAACAGTGGATGTGAGATGACACACCATCTCAACAGGAGGATGTCTACCAATAGAGCTTGAGCAGAGTGAGTTTGTTGGGTAAGAGCATAGCTCGTATAGTTAGGCGGTCAAAGGCTGTACTGCGTATTGTGTTTGATTGGGTTGAAATATAAATGTGACAGACGATAAAAATATAGAAAATAATTGCGTAGCAAGTAAACGAGCATAGCAAATACTGAGCAAAATCCATTACCGGTTCATAAAAATGTACGCTCCCAAATGTTCCTATCAGTGGCTCGATGAACCCCCTTCCACCCTGCTCAGCTCAGACTTCAGAGGCCCTGTCGTGTTGGAGGTGCAGAAAGTCCGACCATCTGCGCGCCGAGGGGCATTAGTTCCAAATAATGTTGAACTCAATGGGCAGTGCCAATTGCAGTTTCAAATCAGTCCCAAATGATACCAAATGCATAGCCGCGCGTGTTAACATTTGGAACTATTTGGGCCGCATTTGGGACTCATTGGTACTCGATTGGGACTGCCGGCCAGCGGCGGATCCAGCGGGCGGCGGGGGAAGCTGATTGGTTGTCTTTGCCCCGTTTCGCCGGCCGGCCACAGGGTGCGCTAGCGTCGACTGCGGGCGGCGGCGGGCGGGCGGCCGGCGCTGAAAGAACGTATTAAAATGACAACATAAAAATGTTTTATCTTACATATCTCCCCTCACATTAGTCGCATAGATTTGTTCTTGGATTCAATCGAAGGCGCTTTCAACAAGCTATGTTGCTATGCCATGTTTATGCCAGGATATAGTCGTTCAATGAAGTTATTGGTGTTTGAAGCCGTTTATTTGTCCTATTATTTCGCATTTTGCTACGTTAATTGTTGCGTCCTCCTTATCAGCTCTATCTACCGAAACGCCATGTTGCTATGCATTTTTTATGCTAGGATTTAATAATTTAATGAAGTTATTAGTGCTTGAAGCCGTTTGTTTATCCTATTATTTCGCAGTATGCTTCGTTAATTGCTGCCTTCTCTTTATTCCTGAGACTGGTATCATTGTGACCCTCGCACTTGATCCCCGGTATGATGGCGAGGTCAGGAGTCCGAAATGACCTCACGTGACCCTCAGGAAAAATATGTCCATCATGAATCGTAAAACAAAAAAAAAATATGTGTAGGTTGCTAAGCTACTAGCCTCTGGCGACATGTACCACGTCAGTGCGCGTTTCAGTCGGGTGAATGGCGATGTACCGAAACATTACACTCGTTCTTGATTAAAAACACAGCCGCGTGAACATTCCTCCCTGATCAAGACACAGTCACGGTGGGGCGCTGGTTGATCCAGCGAAACAGTTCAGTCACAGCCCACGTTTAGAAGGGTACGGGACGATCTATCCAAACATTACAGCCCACGCGCCACATGTGCGTCGCCACCACTACGGACACTAGACAGTGT